CTTTAAATAGGCCCCAAACCCGAGGAATTAGGGTTTCATTAAACAACGTGGACTCGCCGAATCCTCGGGGCGACTCGCCGAGTCCAGCCATCCAACGGATAATGATTCGCGTCACTACTCGGCGAGTCTACGCATCAACTCGCTGAGTTCTTCCAAAAAACTTGAAATTCAATGAATAAATATAATACTTGAAATTCCGGATGTTACAACCCTAATTGTCATGACTGTAACGCCCGTAGATCAGGGATAGTCAATTTAGAAACAATGAGCGTCAAAAATAACTTTTTAATGGAAGATTATTTATAAGGAGTAATCTTAACTAAGTTTTAGTATATGTTACAAGGTTTACGTGCATATAAAGAATGCCGAAATCCGAGTTATAACGAAGACGTTATGACATGTTGAAGTTTTGCGACAGAACTGACACGACACATCGTGACGTAAATAGTGAATTTACGCTAGAGCAATATTTGGCCTTAGAAATCTAAATTAGATTTTTAGAATACGTTAAACCGAGAGCATGCATAAAAAGAACGTCTAAATCTGACTTCGTATGAGAAAGTTATGGTTTTTCAAAGTTTCAGCATTAACAGTATGCAATCCGAAGTTCGAATATGAGATTGAGTGATTTCTAGCCAAAACGACCTAAACGAGAATTGAATATCTCATCAATAGTAGTCCAACGGTAAAAATACAGATGAAAACGGACGTCAGACGAAGAAGTTATGAGTTTATAACGGAGTTTACTTGTGCCGGCCTACTAAAAATAATATAATAAAATTAAATTCAAAATTATCCGACAAAGTCCAAATGAAAGTTGTAGATCTTGTTTTTACCTACGCGTGTAAAAAAAGAACATCGAAAACGGAGTTCGTATGCGAATGTTATGATTTTTTGAAGTTCGAGGCGCGAAACCCCAAAACTGTCAGAGTTCACGACGTGAATACAGTGTTCACGATGTGAACTCAGTATTTATGATTTCTAGAGCCTGAAAGACGCAACTTGCGATGACACATGCAGTGACGACTGAAATCACGACGTGTATATTTGAGATTCACGACGTGAATCCATAAAATCAGCCCTATAAATAGAAATGGAAGGGCAGCTGATTTAGGTTGCTAGTTTAGCACTCTCTCACTCCCGATACTCTCTCTAAGCCCTATTTTAACCCCCGAAGCCCCGGTATCATCCCAAGACACGAAGCAAGTCCCGAAGCTCCGAAGATCCCGAGAAGAAACGAGTTTTCGAGTCGAAGCTCTGCCCGCGAGAGGCCTGGTGTGTGAAGAGATCACAGTTTCACCGAAGAATACTACTTTTACAAGTCGTAGTGCTGTCCGATCATCATCTGATGAAGTGAGTGTATAGTCCTTTTCATAAACACGATTTTAATACAAGTATTGTTTGAATGTATTAAGTATATGTTTGGTGTGAGTGTGTAGTTACTTTCTTCTAACACATAGATATGAAGTATTTGTTATGAAATACATATTATGTATTTATATATTGTTTGTTTATTTGAGATGGATGTTGGATGAATGATTTATACAGGTTTGTATATGATTTAAACTATATATGTAATTTTTATCTACAAATAGGTTGGGTAGAACATGGGTAGATGGAATAGTTGGTGTGTGATGAGAGATGGTATGAGTAAACCCTGGTGACTATGAGACGTAGTGCCTATTAGATAAACCCTAACAACGATGTGACTTCGTGCCTGTTAAATTGAACCTTGGTGACTATGGAGTTAGCGCCTGTTAAAGTGAACCTTGGTGACTATGGAGTTAGCGCCTGTTAAAGTAAACCTTGGCGACTATGGAGTTAGCGCATGTTGAGTAAACCTTGGCAACTATGGAGTTAGCGCTTGTTGAGTGAACCTTGGTGACTATGGAGTTAGCGCCTGATAGCTATGGATTTAGTACCTGATAGATAAACTTTGGCAGTAATGGACTTCGTGCCGATTCCTTAGGTAAATCCTTAGGAATGAATGAATAAAGGATAGTTGATTCTTAGGGTAAAACCTTAAGAAATAAAGAAGATAATGGGGATGGGTAATTGGGTTGATTGGTTGATGATTAAATATAATAATTATATTATTGTGGGTTGAAAACCCTATATGCTCACCAGGCTCCCAAGCCTAACCCACTCAGCTTTCTTTGCATTACAGGTAATGGCACAAGAGTATAAGTTGGTGGACTTGACGAGAGATTATGGATTATAAATCAGTAGTTATAACTAACTGTTGTAAGGTCTATTTTATATTGTTTACGCTTTTGGTCTGTATCGGAACATGACATCCTGAGATTTTGTTATTTAATGAAAATACATTTCTTTAAAGAAATGCTTTGATAAATTCTTATCATATTTTGTTTTGGGAACAAATTCCGCATCTGTTTTCTTTAAAAGATTACTTTGATTTTAAAACAAAGCATAAACAAATCAGTCTTTTCTGCCCGTGAAATTGGGGATGTCACAATGACCTTTCATTTCCTTGACCAATGGGTTCTATATACGCAATGGAGCACCCATGGAGCATCCTATGGGTTTTAGCCCAACTTGATAATCCATGAAGCATTGGCCCACTATATAAGTATGGATGATTTACACAATCAACCCATATATTTAATTAGTCTCTTTTCAATCACTTAAATGATTCCAAATTAATTCTTGATCAATACTAATTAAATAATATTATTAATATATTAGAACTTATAATATATTAATAAACCTTAAGTGTTATTTCTCTTATTTTAGTCTATCAAAATGCATGATGCCATGCAACCCAAATGGACCATGCCAAACCGGGTCAAGTACATACTAGATATAGTTATGGACTTAGACACCTTATCCAACATAACAATCTCAAGTATGAGTTGCAACTAATGAAAGACACCAGTTATGCTGCAAGACTAGAGAGAAGGGTAGCTTTGCTGAAGAACCTGAATGCTGAAGCCACTACTGCTAAATAAATTGTTAATGGTGAGTTAGCCATGGTTGTTGAAGAAAAAAACAATTGAGGGGTGAATTGAAGTTTGTGAGGATGAAGTTTAGGATTGCTATGATATTTCGTGTGCTTATTGCTGCTGTGTTGATGATGTAGAAAGCAAATGTGGTGGGATAGAGATGCTTGGGGATAAGAGATTGGGGCCCTTTTTGTAAACTTGGGGTTAGGGATATGGGTTGGGGATATGAAGATCTTCTATGATTTTTGGTAGGTAGGATATAGGTTAGTATTTTCATGGATGTAAATGCCCTTGCCCTGGTAAATGCCCTACTGCACCACTATTCACTGACCCTTCACCTACATATTCCTATAGAAGATAACATATAAATAATTAAGATTTACAAATTTGCTTTGCTCAAATGACAACATCATTTCAATATACCTGTGTAGTCTTGGTTATCTTTGCTCTTTTCACTCTGAGCTTAACTGGCTTATTTGTTGTGGGGCAAGTCACCTTGTTGTGGCCAGGCATATGACAAGCACTGCATAAATGGGTTTACCCTTCTTTGATACCTTATGCTTCCCTATTTTCTTTGTCACATCTCTCTTCCTTTTTGTTGCAGGTCTTCCAGGGATCCTTCTTCTTCTTTAGGGAGGTAAGGGTGGGGTAAATGATGTCTCTGGCCACATGTTACTACCATTCATAGGCAAGATATTATTCAACTATGTTTTATTGTAGTTTGATCTACAGAAAATAGGATCCATATAGGTGTCCACATACCTATTCAGAAATAAGATTGTAGCAACTAAATGGGCACACCCATACCTATTTAGTAGACATAATCTACAAGAACATGTCTTGGTGTCAAGATCCACATCATAAGCTTAACCTTTTTTTTCTTGTCTCAAACTTGTTTAGTCCACTTGGGAGCACTTGCTAGTACCTAACTTTAATCTTAAACCATTCAGTAACTACCTTATTGCATGACTTACATCCTTTATCCATTTCTTGTGTTTCAAGTTAAACATCCTCTCCATGATATATAACCTCAACTCCTCCAACATAATGATTATTGGTTTCCTTTTGGCCTCCACAATTACTAAATTAAAGATCTCAGAAAGACCATTCTCCACTGCAACACACACCCTCCCTACCTCAAAAAATGCTATTAACCAAGTCTTTGGTTCCTTTTCCATAAAGTAGTTATGGGATTCCGGACTTAATCTTTCAATTTTTTCATGAATATATTGAAAGATTGTGGCGTTGTTGCATTGCAAGCCTTCCAGAAAAGGTTCTCAAAAATAGCCCTTGCAAACCTCTTCTAAAAATTTGCAACAATATGCCTTCATATTGTCGATGTTCAACACAAGGAAGCACATCCTTAACTGCCTCCATAAGAGCCTTGTGTTGGTCAGACATTAAGGTGAACCCAATGCCCATACCTAGTTCAAGATCATCTCTCAACAACTCCAAAAACAACATCTAATTTTCCTTATTCTCAACACACACTATTGCCCATACAACTGGAAATATGTGGTTGTTAGCATTTCTACCCATAACACACAATAACTCCCCATTACATACACTCTTAAGAAAACATCCATCTATCCCCAACACCTTTCAACAACCTTCTAACAAACCAACTCTCACATTAGCAAAACATACATAGAACTTACTGAAGAAATTCAAACCATTAGGCATGCATTGGACATCCATTTTGACTGTTGAACCTAGATAGATTCTTCTAATTTCCTCCCCATAAGACCATAATTTTACATAATGCTCATTAAGGGTCCCCTCAACAAGATTCATGGCACGTGCCTTTGCTCTTCTGCACTAAATTAAACTAAATTGTATTCCAAACTTCCTAATGACCTCCAATCTCAATTGTCTAATTGTTAACTTTTGTCCATGAAAAATTTCCTTAGTATAATGTTCTCCTATCCAAGAGTATGTGGCAATTGATCCTAGTTTGTAGTTTCTAGCATAATTATGCTCAATCTTCAATGACTTGATTTGAAATGACACCTCTTGCCTCATTCATGTAGCCCAAAACTAGAATGGGTAAGCTCCTTTGTAACACACCACTAACAACCTTTTACTGTTACTCTTCTTGAAACATAGTTGGTATCCATTTGCCACAACATAGTTACATAACATATTTTTCAGCTGCTTTGGAATTTTAAATTTCACCCCAATAACATGTAATTGCCTATTCCATTGTAAATCATGGTTAAAAATGGAATGGATCTCAACATCTTCTTCTTCAACTTCATTATCACCAGTATCACCTTCTGAAGGATATAAATTACAAAGAAACTCATCCCCACTTGTCTTATTCAAAGGTATTTTGTCAATGTCAATTACTTCATCTTCAAGACCTATATTGGGATGTGTTTCATCAGGGGCAGTGTTTCCTTCATTTTTAGGTTCACCATGATCTTCAAGGCCATTTTCATTATCTTCACTAACAACCAGATTTGTGTCATCATCCCACGATTCCTCCAACCCATTCCTAATATGATCAGCATAAACTGAAATTTCCCCGTATTCATACCTGGTATCTATAAACTGGGCAAAATCCAAATCATCTACAATGGGACGAATCCCTCTAGATAAAGGGATGTTAGGTAAGCAGTAGTAGACGTTTTGAAAGTATTCCCTAATAACTCTATCAAGAAAAGAAAAAAAGTCCCTTACATCCATACTTGCCCAATCAACATCAATGAATAGAAAGTGATTCCCACCAACATATCCAGAACGATGTCAAATAAATACACCATTGTAGTGTAGAGGAACTCTCAAATATACAACTACGTTATCGTTCTCAACCATGTAACAGTGAAACAATCTTCAAAGAGTAGAATACCTTCGATAGAAGCAATGTAATCTCAATAGTGGCTAAGATGGTTTAAAACCCTAGTTCAAATCTTCATTCCTCTTCTTATAAGACGTACGACTAAGGAAAACGAATTAAATTTTTTTCTGTCAATTATTTATTCTTGTGTTTCATTTTGCATGTTTTACTTCCTGAGTAATTTGATTATTCAAAGCTCCACAATCGCTCATATTTTAGGAAGTAAGTAGTGAATGAAGAATGTCATGAATTGGATTGTAGATTGTCTAAGTAGTTTAGACATAGCAATTATGTTTCTACAACATTCATGAGTACTTAGAAAATGGAGATTTGAGTATTGGATAAATTCGTGCTTATAGAACTACTTCATGGATTTTGTCACGAGAAATTTTGAGACGAAAATGTCTTATATTCTTAAAATGGAGATAGTTGAGTTTTAATTTACAAGTTGGTTGTAGATTGGTATTGCAAAAACACATCTGTAACTTGGTGTTATAAAATGTAATGTTATGTATGATTTGGTGAGTAAAGGATACAAGCATATGAGTAAAAGTTTATTGTTCCCTTTTTCTTGACGGGAAAGCATTATCTTTTGGCCCTTCGGTGATTTGGTGTTAACTTATAATGTTAGGCCTAATCGAGACTAAATTGATGTGTCCAATTAGCAGTCTTATGACATCATCGCAAATCAGAAATTCGGGAAACAAAATTTTGGACAATGAGATTCATTCTAATCCATGTCTCGTATTTATATGATGTCATGTATAAAAAACGAATATTTGATCACTTATCGTAGGAATGACGTCTGATCAGATCAGAGGATGGAGTTGCTTTTAGAAGCATCATTTGCATATAATTTAGAAGTTATACTGGGAATTGTAGTTATAGACTTATCCAAGTAGGAGACTGTTAGATTAGGTCTCTAAGTCGATAACTATATTGGTTCCACACAAAGAGAGAGAGAGTGAGAGAGAGAGAGAGAGAGAGAGAGACTGATTTTTTGATTTATTATATTATTAATAAATAACAATAAATTATTTGTTAGTATATTATGAGAATAATATATTAATTAAAAATAATATTATTTAATCAAAAATTCATCAGAAAACAATTAGAATTTCGAATTAATTGGATTATTTAATAGTGCAAAGACCTAAGTTGTAATTGTTTAATAGTTGAACATATAGGCTTTCCAGAACCTTCCTGAGCGATGGACGGTTTTAAAGAGGCTGTTAAGGACTTCTGGAATGTGGCTTGAAGATAATTAGGAAACCAGATAATTACATGATTTGAGATATTATTATTTTAATTAAGTAAGGGTTATATAGGGTTTTCTTCTCAACTATAAATAGGTCCATAGAACCTCTGATTTTCATCATCATTATTGCTAAGAGTCAGCCGAAATTTCCCCTCTCTTATTCTCTTCAAGTTTTCTAGTTGCTAGGGTTTGGGTGTGAACCATCAGAGACATGCGATCTCTGGTGCTAGCGTCTAAGAGTTTTTTGAAGAAGGATTTGATTAGTTATTTATTACAATAAATAATATTTATATAACCTCTTCTATGAATTTCAAAATTAGCTAGGGTTATAGGGTTCTTGTTGTTCAATGAATTGTTACTTCAATAGTGTTACGACTAGATCTAATAGGTTGCATGCACCCTTAACCGTATAAGGATTTAGCTACGTTATTGCATGTAAAACCTATCACCTTCCTCCCTAAGAAAAGAGCCTGAATTGTGGCACGTGGATAAATGAGGAGCTACCACATAGGCAAGGCACGATGCGCCTAGGTGCGACACATCTTTCTATTTTTCCTATATAAGCTTCCAATTTGTAGCTCATTTTAGTACTAATTCATTTGCAATCTCTCTCAATGTTTCCCGATACCATGAGGCCTGAATTTAGTAGTTCTAAGGTGTTAGTCGCAAAGCTCTGGAGCTCCATAGAGCCCATAGAAAAAGTGCTTTCAGTTTTGAAGTTCTACCTGCATAATGTCTGATTTTTCTTCAAATAACCTGTTAGTTGAGTTATGCTTACCGTGCTTTAAGTATAACTTATATTTATGTTCATAATCATTTTTATGAACTAATAAATAAGATCTATCAGTAACACTAATCGTTATACTGACGGATCTACTAACAGAATGATGACAATGCTAGATCAGTGAGGTGTTTCAAGTGGATTTTCCAAACAATATATCTTCATATATCAAATGGATCCTACCTCTGAAACTGTTAACATATCCCAATAGGAATACACCAAAGATAATGGGACGATTATCCAAAGGACGACCTAGCTAACAGTCTTTACCCGACCTAAATGCTAGGCCCGGGCCCTCACCATTGCGACCTCGTGCTTAGGCCCCGACATCCTAACACCAAGGCCCATAAAAAGCCAAAATAGTACCAAATTGCTCCTTAAAAGGACAAGTGTAGCGCTCAAAGCACTGATTCTCAGTAACACTGCACCAATAGCAGATAATCGCTGGTGGTGCATGAAACACTAGTAGGACGCCTCCACGTCTTAACAGTCCAAACAAGACAAAAGGTGATGTCGTGGACATGCTCCCCAAACGACAGGTAGAAAAGGACCATTCTTCTCCAAAAGAAGGGATCACTCTCTCTCTATCTAATACAAAACCCTAATTCTCCCATATGCTTAGTGACTAAACCATCAGAGTCTCGTTCTGAGAACCCCTCCGGGACGATGACTAACATCGACTCTTTCTTTGCTCTAATTCTCAGGCTTAAATCAGGAGAAACCACCACAAATAGTGTTAAGCTTGGAGACATATCACAACATTTGGTGTCATTCGGGCATGTACTTAGAGTTACACAACCTTAAAAGGACCCTAGACGACGACAATTATGAGAAAAGGCACTTGTGGCGTCCGACAATGGAGAAACGAGCCCACTCAGATCAATGTCGTTGATGGCACACAACCATCTGGATCAGATGAACAAGCCTCCACCCACACACCAGAAACACTAACATTAGGTCCAATAATGGGAAACACAGTGGTAGCAATCGCCACCCTATGGTGCCATCACCCATCACAAAAGAGCAATCGATTGCAACCGCGATCACAACACCTCAGTCAACAGCGACCCAATAGTCGCAACCGCTGACCCAACAGTCCTTACTGTCGACTCAGCAGTCACAACCAACAATTTCTCAGCCACAATTGTTACCACAACATGTGGGGTTGAACACTTGGTCCCTAGAGACCATATTGTCCTCTCCAAAATACCCAATGTCAAGCTATCAGTTCTCCCCTGTAGTAGGAATGTCGCATATCCCACTTTTCGCTCAACAACCTCCGATGTTCAACCTCTATTTCTCACAGTTGCAAAGATCCAACTACGAAACACCACTGTCTCAAGAGTCTAACCTCACTTGTCATCGATGCAAAAGCTCAACACCTCCACTCAAAATCCTTATGGTTCAATTATCAACATGCTCCTGTAGCCAGGGAAAAGCTCACAACTGCATCAAATCATACAATCGAGCTCCCAACAGCAACCATACATCTCTCAAGCAGCAATGAACAGTCAAGCATACGAGAAGCCATATTATGCCAAATAGTTTATGATGTACGGTGGTTTGCCATACTCTCACATGGAAAACCCGGTGAGAAGTACCAGTTCTGCCTTTTGCCAGAAGCTCTTGCTGTATGAGATCACACACTTAGCGATGATATAAAGTATCCCCAAGTATGATGGAACAACTAACCCTGACGAGCACATCGAAACATATGAGTGGACGATGACATCATTGAGGATGGAAAAGAGGTGTGCACGTATCTCCGTGTTACGTTATACATAACTGCTAGAAAGTGGTTCAAGGCATTGCGACCGAGAAGCATCACGAGTTTCGAACAACTAAGATACCTTTTCATCAACAATTTTATGTAATCGAGGAAGTGGAAGGGAGATGCAAACTCAATAATTACATATGAGCAAAAAGAAGGAGAGTCGATATGGTTATATTACGATAGATTCACGTTGGCAACACTCAACGTCCCGGGCTATGAGGAGTACCTTGTAACTGGTACCTTCGCCTAAGGATTCCTCCCCGACGTTTTGTCAAAGAAGATGCAGGGGACGATACCTCAGTTGAGAGATGAACTCAAATACAGAGTTGAGAAATACATCCGACAGATCGAAGGTGAGAAACAGAAGGAAGCCAACCTAAAGGCCTTCGCAAATGCGTATATCATGCAAAAGGAAGCAAACTCCCACACAAACTCCAGTCACCAAGATCACCATTACAGAAGCCACGACAAGCACAACCGACACTCACGACACTCACCTTGTAGATTTCTCCCTTTCGGAAAAGATGAGCCCCGGAGCCACCAGGCTAAGGTGCATGTAGGAGAGAAAACACCTCCAAAGGTGGACAAAGAGAAAGGGAAATACAATACTACAAGAGTAAAACCACCGATACAGAAGAGTGCACGGTTTTGAGGAAAGAGATGGATGAAAAACATCTAATAGGCGACCTCACAACAATTTCAAAGGATTTGAGGTCCAAGTTCGCCACTGGTGTGGGGAATACCCAAGATCAGAAAGATGCCGACAAACGCCACATTAAGGAGGATATCTTACCATGATGGGGCCTCATAAAAGGAGTGGGTGCTACAAAATTGATGTCGCAATCGCGATACTCCCTAAAAACATCCTCAATATTATCTTTTCGTCAGAGGACCCGGGGATACGACGATGGAACCCCATGGATCCACTCCTGATATCTACCCACATACGTCAGATACAAATCAACAGTGTTTACATAGACAGTAACAGTTGTACCGACATCCTTTACAAGCACTGTTTCCAACAACTACCAGCATC